TCGACAATAAATAATGACACATGACATTTAGTTTTCAGTATTAAATAATGTTATTTGTCATTTTGCATCCGTCATTAAATAATATCATTTGTTGTTTAGGTTTCGGCATTAATTAATGTCACTTTTCATTTTGCTTTCTGCATTAAATAATGCCACTAGTTATTTTGGTTTCTGCATTAAATACTGAAACTTGACATTTTTCTTCCTGCATTAAATAACATCACTTGTCATTTTCCTTTCTGCATTAAATAGTGACATTGTCATTTAGGTTTCTGCATTAAATACTGACACATCATTTTGTTTTCTGTTTTAAATAATGACAATTGTCATTTGGCTTTCTGCATTAAATAATGTCACTTGTCATTTACCTTTTTGCATTAAATAATGCAACTTGTTATTTTGCTTTCTGCATTAAATAATGCAACTTGTCATTTTACTTTGTGCATTAAATAATGACACTTGTCATTTATCTTTCTGCATTGAATAATAACACTTGTTATTTAGCTTTCTGCATTAAATAATGTCACTTGTCATTTTGCTGTCTTCATTAAATCATGTCACTTGTCATTTTGCTTTCTGCATTAAAAAATGTCACTTGTCATTTTGCTTTCTGCATTTAATAATGACACTTGTCATTTTGCTTTCTGCTTTAAATAATGACAATTGTCATTTAGCTTTCTGCATTAAATAATATCACTTGTCTTTTAACTTTTTGCATAAAATAATGGCACTTGTCATTTTGCTTTCTGCATTAAATAATGTCACTTGTCATTTTGCGTTCTGCATTAAATAATGACACATGTCATTTTGCTTTCTGCATTAAATAATGTCACTTTTCATTTTACTTTCTGCATTAAATAATGACACTCGTCATTTTGTTTTCTGCATTAAAAATGTCACTTGTCATTTTGCATTCTGCATTAAATAATGGAACTTTCATTTTGCTTTCGGCATTAAATAATGACATTTGTCATTTTGCTTTCTACATTAAATAATATCTCTTGTCATTTTGCTTTCTGCATTCAATAATGACACTTGTCATTTATCTTTATGGATTAAATAATAACACCTGTTATTTAGCTTTCTGCATTAAATAATGTCACTTGTCATTTTGCTGTCTTCATTAAATAATGTCACTTCTCGTTTGGCTTCCTGCATTAAATATTGGCACATATAATTTAGCTTTCTGCATTAAATAATGTCACTTGTGATTTAGCTTTATGCATTAAATAATGACACTTGGCAGTTAACTTTCTGCATTAAATAATGTCACTTGTCAATTAGCTTTCGGTATTAAATAATGACACTTGGCAGTTAGCTTTCGGAATTAAATAATGTCACTTGTCATTTTGCTTTCTGAATTAAAAAATGTCACTTGTCATTTTGCTTTCTGCATTAAATAATGTCACTTTTCATTTTCCTTCCTGGTTTAAATAATGACACTTGTCATTTACCTTTTTGCATTAATAATGTCCCTTGTCATTTTGCTTTATGCATTAAATAATGTCATTTGTCATTTTTCCTTCTGCATTAAATAATGTAATTTGTCAATTGGTTTCTGCATTAAATAATGTCACTTGTCATTTAGCTTTCTGCATTAAATAATGTCACTTGTCATTTAGCTTTCTGCATTAAATAATGACACTTGTCATTTTTCTTTCTGCATTAAATAATGACACTTGTCATTTTTCTTTCTGCATTAAATAATGACACTTGTCATTTTTCTTTCTGCATTAAATAATGTCACTTGTCTTTTTGCTTTCTCCTTTACATAATGTCACTTGTCATTTTGCTTTCTGCAACAAATAATGACACTCGTCATTTTGCTTTCTGCATTAAAAAATGTCACTTGTCATTTTGCTTTCTCCTTAACATGATGCCACTTGTCTTTTTGCATTCTGCATTACATAATCTCACTTGTCATTTTGCTTTCGGCATTAAATAATGACATTTGTCATTTTGATTTCTGCATTAAATAATATCTCTTTTCATTTTGCTTTCTGCATTAAATAATGTCACTTGTCATTTTGCTTTCTGCATTAAATAATGTGACTTGTCATTTTGCTTTCTCTTTTACATAATGTCACTTGTCAGTTTGCTTTTTGCATTAAATAATGTGGCTTGTCATTTTGCTTTCTGCATTAAATGTCTCTTGTCATTTTGCCCTCCTGCATTAAATAATGACACTTGTCATTTTGCTTTCTCCTTTACATAATGTCACTTGTCATTTTGCTTTCTTTATTAAATAATAACACTTGTCATTAGCTTTCAGCATTAAATAATGTCACTTGTCATTTTACTCTCTGCATTAAATAATGACACTTGTCAATTAGCTTTCTGCATTAAATAATGGCAGTTGTCATTTAGCTTTCTGCATTAAATATTGACACTTGTCATTTTGCTTTCTGCTTTAAGTAATGACATTTGTCATTTTGCTGTCGGCATTAAATAATGACACTTGTCATTTAGCTTTCGGCATTAAATAATTTTATTTGTCATTTTGCTTCCGTCATTAAATAATATCACTTGTCATTTAGATTTTGTCATTAAATAATGTAACTTATCATTTAGATTTCGGCATTAAATAATGTGACTTATCAATTTGCTTCTGGCACTAATTAATTTCACTTGTCATTTAGGTTTTGGAAGTCAATAATGTCACTTATCATTTCGCTTCCGGCATTGAATAATGTCATTTGTCTTTTTGCTTCCGGCATTAAATAATATAACTTGTAATTTTGCTTTCCGCATTAAATAACCTCTAGAGATTGATATGTCTCTAAACAAAATCGGCCCAACAAACCAACATGAAATCTCTTTCATAACATTGATTCACATAATATCCTAATTTTTTTAAGAAATCGAAGTGTATTTCACGATATAACTTCACAAATCTACAACATAAATCACGCATATCACCGCCTGTAGTACTTACGTCCCCACCAACATATACATGTATAAAAGCTGGGTATCTTGTACCATCTATTCAATTGTGAAAGCAGAATGAAATATACCATATTTATTACTTAAAATCACTATTTAATTTTTACTATACATTGCAACTTCTGAATAATATAAATAAAATAAAATTGCCTTCAAAATATTTAGATTTCGTCATTAAATAACCCTCAGTGTTTGATATGCCGCTAAACAAAATCAACCAAACCAAGCTATATATCTATAAAACATATGCTTAACCTCAAAATATCAAATTATGTACAAAATATTTGTAGTTGATGGCATATAACTGCGTTCAAAAATATTTAGATTTCGGCATTAAATAACCCACAGGGGTTGATATGCCGCTAAACAAAATCAACCAAACCAAACTATATGCGTATAATACGCTTAACCTCAAAATATCAAATTATGTACAAAAAATTTGTAGTTGATGGCATATAATTGCGTTCAAAAATATTTAGATTTCGGCATTAAATAACCCACAGGGGTTGATATGCCGCTAACAAAATCAAGCAAACCATTGCCGGAACAAAACGAGATGGAGTGATTCATTATCCAAATGCAATAGTCTGGTGCAAGCGAAGTCTTTAAGCTGGAATTTGAACTCGTCTCGAGATTCCGTTTTCGATGCTATTAACCGTTAGAGCACCTCCACAAGTGATTTTCGAAAATTTAAAAAAAAATAAAGAATTAATTTCTTTAAACTTTTTTCACGCTTACAAGCATTCGATGTTAATATAAAATGACATTTGATCGTTTTTACATCATCTTATTCGCTTTTTTTCGTATTTTTATTCATTTATTCTTTGATTGATTCAAAATTGCATTGGATCGAAAATCCGGCTAGGAAAAATTTTAATTTAGTTTTAATTTCATTTTAATCTGCCTTTTTTTTCGCTTGAGATTGGACAGTTTTCGTTTCTATGTTTGTTGCTTCTGTTTTTATTTTTTTGTTTTCATTTCCAAATCAAAGACTTCCTTTTTAATCATAGCTGTCGTAAAACTTGACCTGACAGCTGAAGAGACATTGCGTTTATATTATTAGATTTTAGAGTTTTTCGTTTTTTTTTTCTTGGCCTAGCATTTGGTTCATCGGATATTTGTAAGTTTGAATTCCAAATACAAACCTAATCGTATCGACACCGAAATTCTTGGGAATAGATTTTGTTTAGAAATAATTTTTCCTTCTAAGCTACAAACTTTATTCAATCTTGAACAAACGCGTTAGCAGCCTTACGTCAAATTCAGGTTACGATTCACCAGTATTCATTCATTACTTTAATAATCCGCAATTTTCACATCATTTATGCGTTTAAAGAATGTCACAAAACTTGTTAGCAGAAGGACCAGTTCAACGTACAAATTACGAATGGAAGATACGAAAATCAAACATGAGCAAAAATATAAATATTTGGGAAGTGTTTTATCAGAGGACGGAAAGTGCGACACTGAAATCCGAAGGCGCGTTGGGATAGCGAAAGATGCCTTCCAAAAGCTAAGAAGAGTATTAAGAAACAGAAAAAAATCGTTACAAAGAAAAGAGTTCTGAACTATTACGTAATATCAGTCCTCCTATATAGCACTGAATGCTGGACAATCTGTGTTTATAGAAGGATCCTGTAGATATGATGGGCCGAACTTGTAAGCATCGACGAAATTTTAGAGAAACTCGAAACAAAAAAGAAACTTATTTAAAATCAGAAAGAAACAGCTAAAATTTCTAATACACAAAATTTAAAATCTGATAACACAACAAAAAAGCTAGGAACAAAAAAACAATTTACTAATAGCAAAAAAGAAAAATTTATTCAGAGACAGGAAATTGTGGAGGGGCTTGGAAAATCTGATACACACAGGCAAAGGCAAGAGGAACAAAGAAAAACAATACATATACGCTGAAAGAAGGTTGAGAGAGAAATAGCAAAAAAGACAAAAGATGGAAAGAAGGGTTAAAAAAGACAAGAAAATAGCAAAAGAGGCAAAATATTATTCAGAGAACTAAAAAGACAAAGACAGAAATAGAGAAAGAGGGACAGAGATTAATAGAAAATGGAAGAGAGAGAAATAAAGAAGGAAGAGAGAAATAGAAAGAGGCAGAGAGAGAGAGAGAAATAGAAAGAGGGAAGAGGAGAGAGAGAGAATGAAAGATAGCAGGGAAGAGAGAGAAAAGAGAGGCAAAAGAGAGGCAGATAGAAAGAAGGGAAGGGAAGAGAGAAGAAATAGAAAGAAGGGAAGAGAGAGAAAGAGATGGAAAGAAGGGAAGAGAGAAATAGAAAGAAGGAGAAGAAAGGAAGGCAGGGGAGAGAAATAGAAAGAAGAGAGAGATAGGAAGAAAGGAAGGAAATAGAGAGAAATGAAAGACGAAGACAGAAATAGAAAGAGATGCTAGAAGAAAGGAAGAGAGAGAAATAGAAAGAAATAGAAAGAGGAAGAAGAGAGAGAGAGAGAGAAATAGAAAAGAAAGGAAGAGAGAGAAATAGAAAAAAGGAAGAGAGAGAAATAGAAAGAGGGAGAGAGAGAATAGAAAGAATGGACAGAGACAGAAAAAAAAGAGATGAGACAGAGACACACACAAATGAGACAAAAACAAAAAAATACTGGACTGGACTATTATTTGATTTCTGTCCTCCTATATGGCCATGAATGCTGGACAATCTTCTCAAAGATGAAGGACCAGAAGCAACAGAAATATGATTCTACAGAAGGATGATGAGGATAGTAAATATCTGAATAATGAAGTTTCAGAGAAAATGGAAACAAAACAAAACTTATACTTAACATCAGGAAAAGACTTGAAATTTCTAGGGCAAATAATGAGGAAAGAGGGCTAGGAAAATCTGATACCCACAAGACCGATTGAAGGCAAGAGGAACAAAGGAAAACAATACATAAACGCTTAGTTAGCTTTAATAAATGGGTGACTGAACAAAGTTGAGAAGAAATAGCAAAAAAACAAAATTTATTCAGAGCTACAAAGGACAAAATATTTGGGAAAAATTTTGTCTTTTTGCTATGAAGAAAAATGCAAATTTTGTTAGAACCAAAGAAAGAAGTACTGAACTGCTGCATAATATCTATTTTTTAAAATTAGTATAAACAAAGTGGCTTTCCTGAAGCTAAGCAATGTATAAAGAAACAGGAAAATTTTGTTGAAAACACAGAAAAGAGTACTGAACTGCTGCATAATATCTATTTTTTACATGACTATAAGCAAGTGTCTTTCCAGTAGTTATGTAAAATATTAAGAGAAGGGAAAATTTTGTTAGAAACAAAGTTCAGAGAACTGAACTGCTGTGTAATATCTATTTTTTTTTTACATTAGTATAAACAAAGATGCCTTCCAGAAGCTAAGAAAAGTAAAGATGATAATACTGAATTGTTATGGCATATCAACACGGTGGTGAGTACTAGAGAACATTTCCATATATGATGAGGAAACATGAAACGACAGAAAAGTGATTCTAGACAAGGATACTGAGAATACCATTAATCGAACATGTGAGCAACAAGGAAGTTTTAAGGGTATTAGAGGCAAAGAGGACACTTTTGTTTTGTTTACTGTTGTTCACCCGAGTCAAGGCTTAAGAGCCACTCGAGTTAGAGGCTTATTGAATGAAGTTGTTGAAAGTAGATAAGCCGTGAGCGAAGACTTGAAGAGGTTTAAATTCTATAACTTAGAATCAGAAAAAAGATACGAAAATAGAACTTTTGACATTCACAGGAAAAACTGAAGTCAAGCCCGGCTGAAAGAAACAACGAGTAATTTACCTAAAGTGTTTGTATAAATGGACGGCCTGGAAGGGGTGCTGAGTGTGAAAACGAGGAGAGTCATGATCGCTTACTTCCTGAAGAGACACGGCAAGAATATTATTGGTCCTGACCTAATACGTCGACTTACCTTCCAACCGCCGTAACGCAACTTTCCCATGCCTTAAATACTTTCTTTGTAATTGTTTTGATGAACGTTACTTTATGGTACCTAAAAAACTAACTTTCTGGGGGCCTTTGTTAAATACAATAAAAGATCAGTTTTTATCGAAAAAAAAAAAAAAAAAAAATCTAGGCACGCCTAGATTGGTTTATTTTGCATTTGGAAAATACTGAAAATATTAAATATCAGAATACTGAAAAGCAAGTAAGGATGAAAAGGAGAGAGATTTCTAAATGTTAAAGTTTTTTTTTTTATGGTCGGGATAGAACAGAAGGAATAAAAGATAAGATGATGCAGGAGAAAATATCTGTGCATTCCTTATTCCTTCTCTGCATATGAATCTAATATATTATAATATTTAGATAAAATAATAAACAAAGATTAGAAGGGATAAGGGTAGTAACAAGAAGATACAGGTAAAGAGAAAGAAAACAACAAAAACAAAATAAAAGCTAATTTTATTTGTCAACAAATATAACTATATGGCCTTGGAGTGCTGGTGAGTGGGAAAACGAGGAGAGCCATGAGCACTTACTTTCTAAAGGGACACGACAAATAAAAGAAGAATATTATTGGTTCTAAACTGAGACCTTGACTTATGTTGCCTTCAAACCGCCATAACCTTGCTTTCCCATGCCTTAAAGTAATTTCTTGGTAATTGTTTGGATGAACTTTACTCTATCGTGCCTAGAATCTATGAATTTGAGCACAGTACAGATTACTGGAAAGGTTTGATCATTTTACAGCTGAAATGGCGAGATGTAACCGTAAGTTCTATGCTAATAGTTTCTTCTCTCGCACTTCTCGCCTGTGGAACTCTCTTCCGGCTTCATGCTTTCCAGTCAAGTTTGATCTTCATAAATAGAAATGCAATGCCAATCGTTATCTTCTGCACATTTAAATTCTGTAATTTTATTGTCCTCACTCTTTGAGAATATTTTTCTTATATTCTTTCACACTCAGTAACTCATTGGATGTTAGTGACTCTGTCACCTTGCTTGGGGTGAAATGATTAAATCAACAAGCCAGAAGTAAAAACTAATGTCCTCGGGGGGGGCTTTGTTAAATACAATAAAAGATCAGTTTTTATCAAAAAATCAATAAATAAACATAAAAATAAAATAAAATAAATCTAGGCACGTCCGAGCAATAATTGGTTTATTTTTTAGAAAATATTCAAAATATTAATTATCAAAATACTGAAAATCAAGTAAGGATGAAAAGGAGAAAAATTTCTAAGTGTTAAAGTTTTTTATGGTCAGCATAGAACAGACGGAAAAAAAGATGCATATGAATCTAATATATTATAATATTTAGATGAAATTATAAACAAAGATTAGAAGGGATAAGGGAAGTAACAAGAAGATACAGGTAAAGAGAAAGAAAACAACAAAGACAAAATAAAAGCTAATTTTATTTGTCAACAAATATAAATGGACAGCCTGGAAGTGCTGGTGAGTGGGAAAACGAGGAGAGCCATGATCACTTATTTCCTGAAGGGACACGACAAATAAAAGAAGAAGAATAGTATTGGTTCTGACCTGGAACCTCGATTTATGTTACCTTCTCACTGCCGTAACTTTGCTTTCCCATGCCTTAAAATACTTTCTTGGTAATTGTTTGGATGAACTTTACTCTATGCTACCTAGAATCTATGGACTTGAACAGAGTACAGATTGAGCTCCCTTCCGATTTCTTGCATCCCTATCAACTACAATTATCAAAAATCTAAATGCAACGTTCATCTTCTGTCATACTGAACTCTGTTCCTTTATTGTCTTTTCTTCACTTCTCCTTCCTAAAGTCTTCTCATTTTCTTTCACATCCAGTAACCCCTTGTTATATTATCGCCTTGCTTGACTGAAATGATTTAAAATTAAAAAAAAAAACAAAAAAAAACAAAAAAAAAACGAGACAATAAAGAGAAAAGCAAAGATGAGTATATCAGTTTGAATAATTCATAGATCATTTTTCCCCATACTTCTATTTGGTAATTTTTTGAAAATGAACTACACTTTTGGGTGAAATGTCGATCCTTGCAACCATCAGCCTCCCTCTCTAAAAGATGTCTCTATCTGTGTGTATGGACGGGTTGTTTTCTCAATTTCCTATTTAATCTGAGTAAACAGACAGTGTTTTAATTTCAGTGGATCAGTTTTATTTTGCAAAACGTAAAATCAAAGTCTCAACATTCATGGCGTTTTGATTGACAACAAAATAGATGATCTCCTTATTCTTCCCGCCCAAAATAAATAAATTAAATAATTAAATATTCATTAAAAACAGAATTTGTGGGATTAGAGCAGAAAGCCATTTATTAGAATTGATTTAGATGTGATTTATTTTTAACTGCTGGATTTTGCGGGCTTGTAAAATGATAGATGTTCGTTCATTGAAAGAAGATGTAAGAGAATGATGGAGAAAGGAAGAGAAGATGAGACGATGAAAGAATAAGAAAATGGAATGAAATTCGAGAAGAACTCAGAAAAGGGGAGAAAGAAAAAAGCGTAGAAAGCAAGAGGGTGGTAGAAGATGATTAAAAGACCTGTTAGAGTGGGAAGGTAAGAGAAAGAAAGATTTAATGAAGAATAAAAATTCGAAGGAACCAATAAGAAAAGTAAGTAGAGAAGTTGGAAGATGGAAAAGTCCAAGAATATAGCACAAGAGATCCAAAAGGACTAAAGAAGCAGAAGAATATAAAAAAGAATATATTAAGCCAGAGAAAAACAGAAACAAATAATTAGTAGAAGAAAAAAAGAAGATAAGAAGGAAAAAAAAAAGCAGAATAAAATAATGAAATTGAATAATAATAATAATAATAATAATAATAATAATAATATCGATAATAATAATAATTGTTGACCATGTTTGCCGCATCTCTGAATATGGAATTCAGTGAAGTCCGTAAGCTTTGATATCAGAGGTTGGCATGAAGATTCAGAGAAAAAGTAGCGGTTCTTAATTGATATAAGGATTGAACAATTTGGGAGGACATTTCATTGAATATTTTGAGCTTTCTGATTGGTTAACCCTTCTATTGGTGAACTATAAAATTCTTGCTCATTTGATTGGCTCACTAGTACAAACATGTAATTTTTTGCAGGTTCTGTGATACCTCCATCTGATTGGTTGATATTTTTGAATATAAAACCCGGCATAACAGAGCTTGACGTCCATTCTATTGAAGGAAAAATTTTGAAATAATTCCATCTTTTGTCCACTGTTGTTTATGTTTTGCTCAATCCAGAACAATCAAAAATCCACCAGACAATTTTTGCCCCCGCAGAAAATAGCAAACAAAAAAGGTGTCTCAAGATATGGCAGTCCTGCTGACTCAATTCCTTTAATTTCAAAAAGCTATCAAAATAAATTATTAAATCGAAATTCAAAAATGTGGCGTCATTGGAACATCCAATCTCCGTCGTAAACCCTCGGATTGGTTGGAAAAAAATGAAATATACCTTATCCAAAAGTACCCTCCTGATAATTTAGGGCTTTGTCTACGTATTTTTTTATGGATAATATGGATTATGTTTCTGGGCGGGACCGGAAAGGAATTATCTCTAAATAAAATAATAATAATAATAATAATAATAATAATAATAATAATAATGAGAAGAAGAAGAAACAGAAGAAAGAAGAAGAGAAGGTCGAAACAAAACAAAATTAGCTCAACAGAGGAACATAATCGCATTCAAAAAAGCTATGATCAAATGGTAAAATATAAGTTTAGATAATGATTAGATATGAACAGGTCCCAATAATAGATAGTTTCAAATATATGTAATGGATAAATATGGTCTGTCATCGTAAAATGCATAGATAGATTTTCGATAATAGATAGATATTTTCATATGCCGTAGATATATATGATAACAAGAAAGATAGATAAGCCTAATAAGATTTATATATAATTGTTAAAAATTGAAATAACAGTTCAATAGAAGGAAAAAAATACAATTCCACTAAACATATGTATACAAATTTAACAAGATTTCTTTTTCTTGTTGTGCAATAACATTTTTAAAATCCCTTTTATGGTAAACTTCTGGCAAAATAAAGCAATGAAATCAAATGTAAGGATTAAAAAGTTTAGAAAGCTTGCGGACAAATAGATAAATACCGGATATTGCCCAAATATATGATGAATTTTATCAGGGATTCGGATGAGATATAAATTATTCAACTGATATTTCTGAATTAAAAATGGTCTCAAATAGACATTTTTTAAACTTCGGCAAAAAGGAAGCATTTTTTTCTTTTGTGCCCATGATGGTCATTGGGACAGGAAGTCATTTTTATGTTTTTAGTGGGTCAAACCTTCGGAAAGATACTGAAATACAAATTCAAAATTGTCAAAATTATATTTTTGCCTTCAGCCTCTTTTTTTATTTGTTTTTCATGAAAAATTTCTCTTAAAAATGTTTAAAATATTGAACAAAAATGCCTTTTCTAAATTCTTTATTTCCATAAATAACAAAATGTTTACATTTTTCCATTCAAATAAACATTTTTTAATGAAAAAAAGTAATTGAATTTAAATCATTATTATAATTTGTGGAAAAATGATGCATTTCAGGACTACGCAATGGTCTCATCTATGACCTCCATCTTCTGGCTTTCTCCTCCTATATTTTGGCAGGTTTTCCCTTTTCAAATTTAAATTTAATTTAAATCAAAGAAAAAAAAATCAATGGATGGGTTTGTAAAAAACAGCTTCATATCTATTTTGATATTATTTCATGCAATTCTTGATTGAAATTCGTCATGAGACATTTCAAAATTGATATAGAAATTAATAATGTTTAAACATGTAATTTAAATCAGTTACCTACTTTGATTTCTTGATCCCCAGAAATCTATATTATCTCATTTTTGGAATAAAGGGTTTCTCCTTAAATTTTTTTTACATTCCAACCATTTAAAATCAAAATGAAAAAATAATTCATTGGCGTCTTTTTAAGTGAAAAATGTTCAAAATGATTTCCAAATTAATTTAGATTATTTCCTTGAAATCTGGGATTAAATTTATTAAAATTAATTTGGAAATATAATAATGAAATATAATTTATTATCCCTTTTATTTTCAGAATATATATTATATAAGGGTAAACAAAACCGGATTGTTCGATAACGAACAAACAGACAGAACTAAAACTTTTTTCGTTTTATAAAACAAATTTGGTTATAACATTTCACAAAACCAATTCAAACATATGTATACAAATATTAATTTAAATCGTTGTATTATCTAAATTTTTATTAAAAGATGTAAACATTGGCAAACAAGGCTAACAATTCGAATTTGATCATATTTCATCTATAATTTAAATTTTTAATATTTCGTTTCATAATATATCCATTAATATTAAAAACAAATATTTCTTTTCTTTCACTCTCTTGATTTCGTTCAATTGGTTCCAAATCATGGATAATACAAAAGTTCCAACATAAAATTTATATTTTTTTTTTTCTATGCTTAATTTATAAATCACTTACTGCTATTACAAAATTTTTTTATAATGCCCTATCTGCATACATTAATTCATTAAAAATTGTCTTCTTATTGTAAAAAGAAATTAAACAATTAAATTTTCTTCTGCCTTTTCTTTTTTATTCAATCATAAATTTTTAAATTTCCTGACACATGGCATAATAAACTCCAAAATGGATAAAAATGTTTCTTTCAATTAAACAGCACCACATTTAACTCATTTTCTACCCCATTTATATTAAATCATAAAGGTTCAATTCGACATTTAAAATTAAAATGATTTGGTCTGTCTTATCTATAATAAATATCATGGTTCTCAACATTAAATCAATAATGTTTCAGAATAAAAACAATCTAACTTTTCTAGCATTTTTGGTATTAAAAATACCCAAACCAACATTCATTTTCAATTGTTTTCCTTCGGACATTAAGGATAAAAGATATTAAGAATGTTTGATATTTCAATTTTTAATTTAAATTCTGTCTCTTTACCCCTTTTTTCATATTTAAATTAATTTTAAATCGTTATATTTGGTTCGATTTTTTTTAAAACTAAACCAACGGTGACTAAAAATTTTCTTTTAAAAAAAATTCGTTTTTATATTCCTAAATCATTGGGTAGATAGTGATTTTCCTTTCAAGCTTTGAATTCTGGTTATTTTTTAAAATAAAAATATCACGTATAGTAAAAAAAGGTAGAGACATCGAAGAAATCGTTAGACCGATATAAAAGGTGTAAAATCAACATTCCCCGTGAAAAATGTCTTCTTCATTTTTAAATTCTCATAATTATAATTAAAATGGCGATGTTGAAATCGTTGGTTTTAAAAATATTTTTAAAAAGGGTGTAAATCACATTAAATTCAATAAATTATACAGTTAAATAAATCGTTGGATACACTGTTCAAATAAACTCTGAATAAATGATTAAATATACCACTCATTAATGTTAACATAATTTTGACTTTTTCTTTCAAAAACAGCAGATCTGTACCTGAGTTAAAGGCCGCTATAAATGACATTATGACATTTGCTGCAGCAGCAGCAACAGTAGTAATCTAACTAGCAAGTAAATTAGTTTAAGACCCCAAATTTTATACGTAGATTCATCCCAGGTAAACTACAACGTAACCAAAAAAGTTCTGTCTGTTTTTTGATTAGTCATTGAATGAAGTTGAAACATATAAGAAATACATGTAGCAATCGTTTTCAAATTCGGACAACCGGAAGTAGGAACATCAGACGTTATAAAAAACATGCGCACCGTACCCGTTCATCAGTTATAAGCCGGAAAGTTGTGAGAAGGTTGGAAGTGTCTAGAGATCTCGTTCGAGGCTGTTTGCTTTACGACTTCAAAGTCGGCTTATCAGCAGCTGCATCAAGTCGCCGCATATGTCAAGCATTTGGGGATAGTGCTGTGGATGAACGTACTGCAAGGCGTTGGTTTTGAAAATTCAAGTCGAGAGATTTGTCTCTCCATGATGAGCCTCGCAGTGGACGACCACAGGTCTTTGATGACGGAGTCCTGAAGGCGGCCATCGAAGAGGACAGTAGTCTAACGTGTGGTGAACTTGCAAGACAGTTCAACGTTTCCGATGAAACAGTTAGACTTCACCTGCACCGCTTAATAGACGTACACACTGAGCAAGTTATTTCCCCGCAAACGCTGTTGGAGGTCCACAAGGGACAACAATGGCAGCCTGCGTATCGCTTTTTTCTCGCCACCGTACCACATCTTTATTCAATCGAGTGCTTACCAGTGATGAAAAGTGGGTTCTGTACGAAACTCCCAAGCGTTCCGATGGCGATTACTTCGAAGACTAAATATAAGTTACACATACTTTCAAAAGGGACAGAACTTTTTTGGTTACCTTGTAAATACTAATTGTGTGTTCATTCATTGGACCGGGGTATGTAGATTTTAGGTTGAGAAATAATTTAGCATTACATAAGAAGGATATAGGATATGCCTAGACATTTTTTTTTATCTTTTTAGAGTGACAACAATCAACTACCATTTCGAGAAATACATGGGTTGGGTGTCTTGGCACACATAGTCAGTGATCATTTTTTGTCCGGATTATCTTTAACAAATTTCTTAAAATTATATCCCTTTTCCTCGTGGACCCAGTCGATACCGATCAGATATAGCCCCGTGTGCCACCAGTCAGCTACAACTGTTCTCATCATGTAAGGCTGCGACTCCTCAGGTTTTTATATTCCAATCACGAGCAACTTCCGGTTCACCAAATACTTCGCTCTTCCATGAAAATGAAAGGAAACACAGTAACCAGAAATCAAAAAATAATCAAAGACATATAAAAAAAGAAAAGAAAAATCAATTTTAACCGAACATAAGATCATGGAATAAATATATATATATATGTTGTAAAAACTAAAAAAGACCTTATGGAACTGGAATTTAAAAATAGGGATAATATCATTCATATGCAGGTTCGGGGTTAGTGTATCTTATTGATATTGTTTGCGAAGATGTATTCGCCCATTTAAATCATTAACCTCTATATTTGTTTTTTGTATGAATGATTCATGAGATTTATAAATTGAACTGCACCTATAATCGAAATTAAAATCCAACTTGCAACTTTCGGATAAGTGTGACATTCCTGTAATTATTGAACAATATAGTTCATACCACATTAACGGAAAACCTACCAGTACAAAAGAATTCTCTTATTACTATATTTGTACAAAAATGCACAATCTTAAAATTTAAAATTCAAACTCAGCGTTGCGACCGCACGTTCCAAAACAATAACACATTTCTCATAGCATTTTTTCGGATTACATCTAAATTTCCGTTGTCCTCTTATTACCGAGAAGTAAAAAAACAAGAACAAATCTATTTCCATACCTGAGGATGTCTGTAGGAACAGACGAAAGCTTGTAAAAACTAAAAAAGACATTATGAAACTGGAATTTATAAACAGGGATCATATCATTCATATACAGGTTCGGGGTTAATGTACTTTATTAAATTTGTTTGCGAGATGTATTCTCGCCATTTAAATCATTAACTTGTATATTTGTTTTTTGCATGAATGATTCATGTAATTATATATATATATATATATACTCAGATATATACATATATATTATCATATATTGGCGCAGTAGTCATATATATTTCTCTGAGTGTTGACTTCAATATTCACTTTTATATTTATAAACTGTTTTCTATTTCTGATATCGAGCACTTTATTCCATAAATATAGCACACTTCAAAACTGTATTTCTTCATACACATCATGTGTGACGTCACCAGCTGCGAAAGCTTAGAATGGATTTAAACATGTATCAATATTGTGATTTCCTTTCGTCTTTCAATGATAATGTTATTAAGCTTTTCAGACAATATGAAAGGAACTTACTTAAAATAAATAGACAAAACTTTGTATATTATTTAATGAAACATATATCAATATATATATATATATATATATATATATATATATTTATATATATATATATATATATATATATATATATATATATATATATATATATATATATTTCAAGAAAAATTATTACTCTAGGGAAACGTATGTACCTCTTCTTCTCTTCGCCCCAATTATGGGTAAATAACAGGAGCAACTGGGTTCTATAAACTTGGGTGGCAACCCGTCTAGGAGAAAAGAAAATCTGTGAATTCAAGACAAGCCTGGATAGAGCTGGGCTCCGTCAGGCCAACTTGACCAAGAAACATCACTTCTACTGTGGATGCAGTACATCTGGTGCCCCAAAAACCCAACAGGTCACGGGATAATATATACATTCATATATATATATATATATATATATATATATATATATATATATATATATATCAAGTGTTTGATTATGTTTGTTGGTGGTGGACCCTCCCCGAGCATAATAAAAAACAAATGAGCATAAATGGATTCAGTTTTAAAAAAATAAACCAGTGTGTCTGATGATCGCAAAGGTGTGAAACACAGGGTCAGAAACTAATATCCATACAATTGAATATTGGCTAGTTAAAGACAATAAAAATAAATATTCCAATGATGTCCTAAATGATGAAACGCGTCGCAAAAAAATATTTACACTTTGTCATACAGTGTAACCCGGATATAAGAGAGTTGGCCGACCCAGAGAAGAAGTCTCTTATATCCGGGTTTCTCTTATATCCGGGTTTCTCTTATATCCGGGTTTGGTCTATTATATATACATTAACACAGGCTCTAATTTGGGACCAGAGAAAATCTCTCTTATATCCGGGTTTCTCTTATATCCGGGTCTCTTATATCCGGGTTACACTGTACATTTTTTCGGCAATATTTTGATCTATAAAGGTATAGATCTATATCTCATGTATATAATAACTGAGAAATAAGGATTAAATCCGACGTATTTATAAAAGAAAGAAGGAAAATCTTTTATAAATCTTCTCTAATTTAATTATATCTTTATCCTAATTTTCTCTTCTTCCACATTCACAAAAATATTTCTGATACAGCTATATTCAAATTAGCGAAAGATCAAATTTATAAAACTTTTCCTATTTTTCTATATTTAATCATTCAAGCATTGCCATTTAAAAAAAAAATTACGGCTTTATCTTATCTCATTATCTCCATACACAAACACAAACACACACACACACACACACATATATATATATATATATATACACACACATATATGTGTATATATATATATATATATATAAAAAAACACAAAACACCCCCACACACACACACACACACACACACACACATATATATATATATATATATATATATATATATATATATATATATAAGTATAAATATATATATATATATCACCGGTAGCACGTATAAGTACAAAGATAGATAGATAGACAGATGGATAAATAGAAAGATAGACTGACAGATAGGTGAAAGGACTAAGAAAGTTAGTCAAAAAATTATAATATATATATATATATATATATATATATATATATATATATATATATATATATATATATATATATATATATATATATATAACATATAGTTAAGCTAACATATAAATATTATAAATATAGCCATATGTCAATAGACGAAGAAAAATGATTAATTTACACAATATCTTTTTATTAGTCAACATTGCCACCTTCACATTCAGCGCACTTCATCTTCATAAATCACAAAATTCAAACATCATCGAACAAAAATTACAGATTAAAATTTAGTTAATAACCATGTCAGACTACGTATTTTTCACCTTACTTCACACAATATATATATATATATATATATATATATATATATATATATATATATATATATATATATATATATATATATATATATATATATATATATATATATATATATATATATATATATATATTGTTAAACCAATGGTGAATAATGATGTATCTTTTCTAATTATTCTTCGTTTATAGAATTTTTATCCGGCTTTTGTTCCCATTCGGGTGAAATATTAATTTAATTGGCAAGTGACATCAAAACAAATTCAAAGTTATTAATTTTATTTTGC